AACAAGAGGAAGGAGGAAAATAAATGGAAAAAGAAGAGGAGGAGGAGAAGGAAAAGAATGAATAGGGATAGGGATCAACAGGCGGAAGAGTAAAGAGGATAAGTGGGAGGGGCGAAGATAAAGAAGAAGAAGAAAAAATGAGAAGGAGGAGGATGGAGAACACCCGAAACTTTGATAAAGGATGGAATACAGAAAGGACAGGAGAGAAGCAGTACAAAGAAGGATATGCGAGAGTGTGAAAAAGAAGGAGAGGGGAAAGGGAAGCAGGAAGGGAGGGCAGACGAAAAGAGAAGAGGGATAAATGAATGAAGATAAGGAGAAGAAGGAAGGAAAGAGAAAAAAAAAACGGGGGAAAGAAGACAAAGAAACTGAGGAAAGAAGATGAGATTAAGTGGGGAAGAAAGAGAGAGAGGGGGAGAGAGAGAGAGAAAGAGAGAGAGAGAGAGAGAGAGAGGAGAGAGAGAGAGAGAGAGAGAGAGAGAGAGAGAGAGAGAGAGAGAGAGAGAGAGAGAGAGAGAGAGAGAGAGAGAGAGAGAGAGACCAGATATTTAGAAACAGAATGAGAGATCAAGAGACCACGAAAAACAAACAGACAGAAAGAGACGAAGAAATTTTAAAACGTAAGAAGAAAAAATAAATAAAAACGCAATGAGACGAAAAGAGGAACAGAAAGAGAAAGTCAGGAGAGAGAAGAGAAGGGGAGAGAGAGAACAGACGAAGACAACGAAGGAGCCAGCAAGCTACACAGAGCAACGAAGATGAAGACTTACAAACACACACACACACACATACATACATACACACACACACACAAACACCTCCCCCCCCCCACACACACAACCCCCCCCACACATAAACACACACACAACCCCCCCCACACACACAACCCCCTCCCCCCCACCCCCGCCACACACACACACACACTTACAAACACACACAAAACACACACAAGCAAACGACACGACTCTCACTGACAGACAAACGACCCCATTATACAGGGAAACGTGCATAATATGTGTGGCCATTGGACAAGAGGCGGAAATGGGACACTTATATGTGGATGCGTTACCGGTAATGACTGGAAGCAAAGACTGTTAGGTATTGGTTACGTCACTTGCTGCCATGACGCTGGGAATCTGTGACTTGGGTGTGTTGGTGTTGGTATGCTGAGGTATTTTTGTCTTTCTTGATTATTGTGGTTATCTTTATCATTGTAACTGGTGTTATTAGTGTAATTGTTGTTGTTGCTGTTGTCATTATTTTTTTTTATCATTGTTTTTTATTATTGTTGTTGTTGTTATCGTTATCATTATCATTATTATAATCATTGTTGTTGTCATCATCATCATTATATCTATCATCATAATCTCTCTCTCTCTCTCTTCTCTCTCCTCTCTCTCTCTCTCTCTCTCTTCTCTCTCTCTCTCTCTCTCTCTCTCTCTCTCTCTCTCTCTCTCTCTCTCTCTCTCTCTCTCTCTCTCTCTCTCTCTCTCTCTCTCTCTCTCTCTCTCTCTCTCTCTTTCTCTTTCTCTCCCTCCATCTCTTTCTCTCCCTCTCTCTATCCACCCATTCTGAAATTCATCCTTTATTGTTTCGCTTTGGGTGTTTGCTTATTTATCCGTGTTCCATGTCCTCTTTCTTCTTTCCCCTCTTCCCTCTTCCCTTTCGCTCTCCCTCCTTCTCTCCTCTCTCTCTTCTCCCCTCGTGTGTCTTTGTCTTTCAACTTCCACATCCCTACCTCTTTTTTCTATTCTCTCTTCTCCCATTTGTTCGCACACATATACGCGCATATTTTCCACATATATAAGGTACAGATACATACGGAAATGTTAGGCTTTACTTACACGGTTTTGCCTTCACACATACACATGCATAATGTATATATGTACATACATAACATAACCATACGTACACGTGAGAGAGAGAGAGAGAGAGAGAGAGAGAGAGAGAGAGAGAGAGAGAGAGAGAGAGAGAGAGAGAGAGAGAGAGAGAGAGAGAGAGAGAGAGAGAGAGAGAGAGGCAGACAGGCAGACAGACAGACAGAAAAAGAAGGGCTTAAAATCACAACTTATCCTCATCCTGTGTAAAGTTCACTTATTATCTATTACTTTTCCGCCATTCCGAGTTAAGTGAATTTTCTTGAAATCTCGTACAGACAAAACTGGCATCAAAGACGACAGACGTTGAAGATAAAAATGATCTTTAAAGGTAATCTTAAAAGTAAAATCTTCGACTTCCGCTAAACGATCGAGAAATTGCTAATATTTTTCGTTTTTTTTGGGGGGGGGGGGTGGGGGTGGGGGTGTTAAGGGGATACTATTTTATCCTCGTTGTTCCAGTGCCAAAAGAGGCAAGATTTTGTTATTATTATTATTATTCTCCAGCTCTCTCTCTCTCTCTCTCTCTCTCTCTCTCTCTCTCTCTCTCTCTCTCTCTCTCTCTCTCTCTCTCTCTCTCTCTCTCTCTCTCTCTCTCTCTCTCTCTCTCTCTCTCTTTCTTTTTCAGCTCATGATGATATATAAAGAGGAAATGAGCGAAAAGGGGAGAAGGGAAGTGAGAAGAAAGAGACAAGCATAAAAAATGGATGAACTGGTATTCTGGATAAAGAGAAGAAGAGACAAAATGAAAAATAAGAATATCTTTGCTTAAGACGGTCCGCCATTGTTTCCTAATTATCTATATTTTTTTTTTTATCTTTGTCTTTTCTTTGGTCGTGTTTGTGTAATACGTAAGATTTAATAGTATTACGGTTTTTATTAAGGAATTATATGTCCCTAAGAGCAATAATAAGAGATTTAAAAGATGGGGGATAAAAGGAATAGATATTAGCTTAATTACTTACATACGTTTAAGCAAAAACAGGAATCTAATCTGAAAGATAGACGAACATTTTCATTTTTCACAAATATAAACTACGCACGCGCACACACGCACATTCACACTCACACATTCACACTCACATATTCACACTCACACTCACACTCACACTCACACTTCTCTCTCTCTTCTCTCTCTCTCTCACACACACACACACACACACACACACACACACCACACACACACACACACACACACACACACACACACACACACACACACACACACACACACACACACAACAACACATACGGCATCTGTCCTCCTAAACCACGGCTTGATTTACGCATTCCCGACGATGTGTATAATCAAGGCTCTGGGAGACCGTATCAGGATCTACGATTACGGCGAGGTCTCCTTCTGCCGTACCCCACATCCGCGAGACGAAGGAGGCAGAAAGGGGGGGGGATAAGGATGGGCGTGTGCGGGCGTGGGTGGAAGGTGAGCCGGAGTCATGGGCGCAAATGGGCGTTTTGCGGCGATTACGATCGGGGCGTCCTGAGGCCCGGTGAGGGATGGGGGTCGGCATAACGAAGGTTGGAAGCTACGGGAGTGGGTTGTGTTTATGATTTATTACTCCGCCCCCGTCGTAACTTCGCCCCGTAATCTCCTCCCCCTCGCCCTGGCCACTACCTGTGATTGGCTCCGGGTCTGCGATTGGCCCACCCACATAGACCTCTTGGAACAAATCACCCTCGAGGACAATCACGCATTTCGAAGGCGCTGTTTGCCCATAACAAATACCCCGAGAGAGAGGAGTGCTGCGAACACTTCCCGAGACGAAACGAAGAAAAAAAATGAAGTTTCTCGTTCTCTTCACTCATAAAAAAAAAAGAAAAATGCGTACGATAGGATGAACGAGAGAAAAAAAAAATCTAGCTTGCTGTAATTTCCACAGCAATCAAGACGTCATTAAAATTACAAGGCAGAAGTTAGGTAATGCTAGGGTGCGACGGGATGACAGACCGCCATATGGCAACACCACTCATGCTTGGACCCTTCTGGAATACATCACTTCCAGAGTTCATCATGAATACGCTTTCCTTATTATCGCTTAGTATCACCTTAATGCCAGTCTGACACGGGGATAACGGACGGCGCTGCACGAGATAGGCGCGGGAAAAAAGCCGTCCCTCCATACTGCAATTGCAACAAATCTAATCAGTATTGGCAGGTTAATTAAATCTTTAAATCAGGTCTGACACCCACACAAGTGTTCTACTTGAGTTTAACGGTGGAAGTTTGAGCAAAAGAGTAAATGTGGGAGAAGGAGAGGCGAGGAGAGGAAGGACCTTAACATGGGAAAAGCTCGCCACCTCCTCCTCCTCCGCCACCACCAAGCGTGCGGGTTAACAATGACCTTCTCCACCACCTTGCCCTCTCCCCCCACTCCCCCTCCCACTCCTCTCGCCGCGTTACCAATAACCCTCACCATCAACCCCAACCTCCCTGTTACTAGCTCTGTCACAACATCCTTTTATTCCCCCAACATCGGCGTTGGCAAAACCTCTCGCAACCCCAGTCATCCCCTGGCCTCAGCGACGACCTTCCTTCCTCTCCCTTCCGGCCCTTTGCACCTCCTGTTCCATCTATCAGCGAGTCTATCAGAGCGATCCGTAATAAGCCTACTCCGCGGCACAAACGCAAACACAAAACCCGACGTCGAGCCCTGTGGACGCAGCACGGGGACCTCCTCCGCCGTCTGCTGCCCGTCGCGCTTCCCCCTTAATTCTGAGAGGTCGCCGTCGTAACGTTTACCCGCGTGAGGCCAGGATAAACATACCATCAGTCGCAGGTGATGCACGCGCTCATACACAGGCCTGCACAGACACCGGAGATCCAAACGGCTGGCGTTGTCCGTCGCGGAGGACCTGCTCCAGAGGCTTCGGAATCCCGCTCACTTTCCCCCCCTCCCTCCTCCCTTTCCTCCTTTTCTCCCTCTCTCCTTTCCTTCCATCTTTCCTTCTTCTCCTCCTTCCCTCTTCTTTTCCTCTCCCCCCTCCTTCCACCTTCCCTCTTTTCCCTCCCTCTATCTCCCTTGTTTCCCCCTCCTTCTCCTCCCTTTATCCCCACTCGTGCCCCTCCTCCCTTCGGTCTCCCACTCCAGTAGCGCCGAGGATCACATGGGTCGACCCCGTTAGCGTGTCAAGAAAACATCCTAAGACTTTCCCCTTCCGCTTCTGCTCCTTGTACCTTCCAGGCATAGTATTGTTTTCTTATATTTACCACCTACAGCTCGAGTATTGTACTCTGCCCGACCAATATGACAATGAGAGTGATTAGGTTGTTTCGCCTTTGGGTTTTCAATTATATTGCACCACTTTACTTATGTGTATGTATATGTGGCCGTTTCTTATGTATCCATATGTATACACTCGAGGATTTTTTGAAACGGAAGTAATTCTATGTCTAAACCTGGGTCTGAAGGCTTATTCGTAGATGACCGTGGACATTTTGTTCCTACTTGTATGTAGTGTATACCATAAACATACTCTTTTTTTGCTTTAGATTCTACGTTTTAAATATTATATTCATAAAGAAAATCCTGTACAAAATACACTGCACAAGAACCGCGCTTCGTAGCCATCTAAAAATATATCTCATTTTAAATCTATACATGTAGGAGGGTTCGTGTGCTCGCAAGTCATCGATAATATAGGCTCGGCTCGACGGTCCTCTCCGATCCCCGCGCATTTAGGCTCCCAGAAGACCACATCCTCCACGCAGGTGTACAAAGGTACCTCGGCCGGAGTGTAACTGACTCCGGGAACGCTGCTATAACCCGACCTTTAACCTGGTACTTAGCTAACAACAACAGCTCACTTAATCAGCCATAATGACCTTGGCAAAGGCGGAACGCTATCCTACCCGCTCGACGTCTAAATCTTACGCACCGCCCATCGCCCCGGCAGCCGAGCCCTTCCACAGACTAGTGTATGGGTGTTCGTCCACAAAGTTCGCCCATTGAGAGAGGTCTATTACACTACACCTTGAGGCGTATGTGCGCACCAATTACCTGCGGGGTCGAGGTGTTAGCGCCGCCGCCATTCTTTTGTCTCGCGGGTTACGAACTCGTGTATTGTGTTTTGTTGTTGGAGACCATTTTTCTTCGTAGGCGATTGTCTGGGGGCGCTGACGTATACATACATATGCCGTAGAGTGAATAAGTGGTCTGACTGATTGTAGGCTCCCCGTCACGCACCGCTCCACGCTTTGACGACATAATGCGACTGGCGTGCTTGCATCCGAAGCCCCGACCCGCCATTAAGACAACTTTCGCGCGCTTTTCAAACCGCGGAGATCACAGGTTCGAACCCTCTGCGGCGGCCGAGGGAGGAGGGAGGGAGGGAGGGAGGGAGGGAGGGGGACAAGTTCCTTCTAAGTATCGGCAGAAGTAACTGTGTTTGTCTCTCGTTTCCTCCTGCAGCGCTCGGCCATGTTGCGCATCCGCCGAGAGAGGAGTTCGAAAGGGGGAACTTACTAGAAGGACAGGGAAATGTAGAGAAAGAAGAGGGATTGACGGCGATCGGAAATCGATGTAGATTCATAAGATTTTTTTCTGTTCTCATAGATTTTTTTCTGCCATTATTACTACTATAAATATTGTTATTATTACTATTACTACTGCTACATCAATAGCAGCATCAACAACAACTACAGCTAACATAACTACAACTACTAACTACTACTTCTACTACTACTACTACTACTACTACTACTAACTACTATTCCTCCTCCTCCTCTCCTCCTACTACTACTACTACTACTACTACTACTGTTCTACTACTACTACTACTTCTACTCCACTACTATCCTCCTCCTCCTCCTCCTACTACTATACTACTACTCTCTCCTCCTCCTACTACTACTACTAACACTACAACACAACCACAACCATCACCACCGTAGTTCCGAACACACCTGCTTGCAATCTTAGCCGTAATAAATGTATTAGCAATATCATCAGCTCCGTATCCGGCGCCCTGATTCGCACAAAGGAAAGGCAGAAGCAATAGATCAGTGTCTTGGCACGCGAAGAGGAAGAACTGCGATACGGGTGATAAAACATAGAGAATGAAGGCAGGAATAAACGTGGGAAGAGGAGGAGAAATGGAAGAGGTGAGATAGGGATGGGGAAGTGGATTAGAAAATGGAGAGGGGGATGGAGGGTGGATTGGGAGGGGGGGGGGAGATTGGATATAGGCCTATTAATGGAAAAATAATTAGTAAAAGAGAAAAAAAAAAAACTAAAAAAATAGGAAAGAAAAATAAAGCCTATTGTAAAGAAGTGAAAAAGAAAAAAAAGACACAAAAGGAAAACAAAAATCACAAGAGCAATGAAACACCCCCCCCCCCCCCCCCCCTCCTTCCTTCACCTCCTTCACCCAAATCCAAAATTTGAACACGATCTTTACCATCTGTTTCCGCCAGACCGAACTCTTTACTAATGACTGAACTGAGATCTGAATTCTAATCTGATTCGAAATCTCCTGTAATTCCCACTGCTTTCTCCCCTCCCCCCTCCCTCTCCCCCTTCCAGCCCCTCCTCCCCCAATAACCTCAACCCCTATTTTCGGACTCTTACCCATTCCCTTTCTTTGTCGTCTCTTCCTCCTTCTCTTTCTTCTTCTTTGTCATCATCGTCCTTTCCTCTTCCTAATCCTTCTTCCTCACTTTCCTTCTCTTGTGCTTCTTCCTCTTCCCCCCCCTTTCCCTCAAATCCTCCTTCTCTTCCCCTCCTTCTCCTCCTCCCCCCCCTCTCTCACCCGCCATCTCCTCCTCCTCCCCCTCCCCCTCTTCTCCCCCTCACCCGCCATTTTCTCCTCCTCCTCACCCGCCTCACCTCTCCCCCTCTCTTCCTCCTCCTCCTCCACCCCACCCGCCACACCCTCTTCCTCCTCTCTATACAACTCCCACTCTAGAGGATTATACATTCCCAGACAAGGACAGACGGCCCGGTCTGACGTCGTCTCCAGAACCAAATAAATTACAGTGGTGGTGTCCCCTCCCCAAGCATTCCCCCTCCCCCTGGCCCCTCCCCCTCCGCAGTCCTTCTCCTTCACCCTCTCTCTCTCTCTCTCCCTACCTCCCTCTCCCTTGCCTCCACCCCCTGGCCCCCTCTCCCTCCTCAGCCCTGCCTCTTCCACCCTCTCTTTCTCTCTCCCTACCTCCCTCCTTTTGCCTCCCCCTTCCGCCTCCTCTCTCTCCTTCCTTCTCCCTCCTCCTACCTTCCTCTTTCCCCCTTCCTCCGTCTCTCTCCCCATCTCGTTCTCATTTCTCCCTCCCCCTACGCTTTCCACTCTCTTCATCCTCAATTTTTTTCCTTCTTCTCCCCCCCCCCCTCTTCCTCTTTAACTCCTCGTCCATCTTCCTGTCTTACGCTTGCTCATTCTCTCTTTCTAACCCCGCCGCCCCCCCTCTCTCGCTTTTACACCCTCCTTCTCCCTCTCTCTCTCTTTTTCTCCTCTCTTCTCTCTCTCTCTCCTCTCTCTCTCTCCTCATCTCCTCTCTCTCTCTCCTCTCTCTCCTCTCTCTCTCTCTCCTCTCCCTCTCCCTCTCCCTCTCCCTCTCCCTCTCCTCTCCCTCCCTCTCCCTCTCCCTCTCCCTCTCCCTCTCCCCCCCCCCCCCCCCCCGTACTGGTAGTGGGCCAAAAAACTAGCAGGCTGTCGAGTGGAAAAAGTGAGAAGACTGAAAGAGGAGAGAGAGAGAAGAGAGAGAGAAAAAAAAAAAAAAAAAAAAAAAAAAAATATATATATATATATATATATATATATATATATATATATATATATATATATATATATATATATATATAGAGAGAAAAAAATATATATAAAGAGAGGAGAAAGGTCTAGAAGATGATGGAGTGAGGATGTAACAAGGGAAATATTAGTAAAGGTGAAGAGGAATAGGATATGGACTATAAGATAGAGGAAAGGGGAAAGGAGAAAGAAAAGAGAGAGAGAGAGAGAGAGAGAGAGAGAGAGAGAGAGAGAGAGAGAGAGAGAGAGAGAGAGAGAGAGAGAGAGAGAGAGAGAGAGAGAGAGAAGAGAGAGAGAGAGAGAGAGAGAGAGAGAGAGAGGGGGGGGGGGATCGGGTCGTGATGAAGATTATGACGATAACAGCTTATTTTCCATACCGTAATTGGCACCTGAGGTATGTGTGTCTGTGTGAAAGAGAAAGAGAGAGAGAGAGAGTGAGAAGGAGAAGAAGAAGAAGAAAAAAAAATCATCTATCAAGACATAAACGAAACCGAAATATACAGAAAAGAAAAATGGGCAGATGACATCCTGGCCCTCCTATTCCTCAAAGACAATCGTATCTCCTTCTTCCTCTTCTTTTTAATCTTCTCTATCTTCTATTTCTTCTTTCTTTATCCTCTCTTCGTAATCTTAGTACTACTTCTCTATTCTCTGTATCTTTCATCATTCATCTCCTCTCCTTGCGGTTGAACCTTGTAGAAAAGACAGGGATGAAGAGGTAGAAGGAGGGAAGGAAGAAAGAAAGAAAGGAGGGAAGGAGAGAAGGAAGGAGGAAAGGGGAAGGAAGGAAGGAAGAGGGAAGGGGAAAAGGAGGAAGGAAAGGGGGAAAGGAAAGATGAAAGAAAGGAAGGAAGGAAGAAAAGAGGGAAGAAGGAAGAAAGGAAAGAAGAGAGGAGAGAAGGAGAGGAGGAAGGAAGGAGAAATCGAGTTAGGGCGATGGCTCCTTGGATATTATCCTTCTTCTCTTTCTTCTACTCGCTTAATAGGAGGTAATTCTTGTCCAGTAGGCCTAAGGAACAGGTTAAATCGAGCTCAGATTCTGACAAACTTTTTTTTTTCTCTCCCTCTCTTTCTCTCGCTCTTTCTCCCTCTCTCTCTCTCTCTCTCTCTCTCTCTCTCTCTCTCTCTCTCCTCTCTCTCTCTCTCTCTCTCTCTCTCTCTCTCTCTCTCTCTCTCTCTCTCTCTCTCTCTCTCTCTCTCCTCTCTCTCTTCTCTTTCGCTCTCTCCCTCTCCCCTCTCTCTCCCTCTCTTTTCTCTCTCACTCTCTTTCGCTCTTTTCTCCCTTTTTTTTCTCTCTCCCTCTCTTTTCTCTCTCCCTCTCTTTCTCTTTGAACGGAGAAGAGACAGCCACCGTCTTTATTTCATTTTATTTCCTCGATGAAGATATTGATTTTTTGGAAGGAGTCGTCGATATCTGAGGAGCGGACGGTGCGTCTGGGGGCCGGGAGAAGGACGATGGAAATTATCATTCCCATTCTCGCCGTTTTTATGGCGGCGTCGGTAATTTTCGGAATGGTTTCCTTCTGTCTTATATATATATATATATATATATATATATATATATATATATATATATATATATATATATATATATATATATATATATATATATATATGCGTGTGTGTGTGTGTGTGTGTGTGTGTGTGTGTGTGTGTGTGTGTGTGTGTGTGTGTGTGTATGTGTGTGTGCGTGCGTGTGTGTGTGTGTGTGTGTGTGTGTGTGTGTGTGTGTGTGTGTGTGTGTGTGTGTGTGTGTGTGTGTGTGTGTGTGTGTGTGTGTGTTGTGTGTGTGTGTGTGTATGTGTGTGCGTGTGTGTATGCATCGTTTGAAGAATATTATTCAGAAAATAAAATCGCATATACCAGATACTCGGAATCCTCTAAAAATAAAAAAAAATAATTTCCAAGATGAAACTACCCATCTCTACTCTCCATTCTCATTTCCAAAACCGAAAAAAAACATGAACGGAAAGACATATTTACACTCCATCTTCGCAAAACTCTAAGTGATTGAAAGATTCTTTTTACGTTGTTCGAAGAGTCCGACTGAGGGCTCTGGTCGTCATCCAAGTCGTCTTTCACAAAACCGTTCTAAAGCGAGCATTACTTTCAATTGCAGGTTGCACGTGCGCCTGTGTATGCTTGTGTGTGTTGGGGATGTTGGTTTTGTGTGTGGTGTGTGTGTACGTGTGTGTTTTGGGGATGTGTGAATTGATGTGTGGTTGTGTGTGGGTGTGTGTGTGTGTGTGTGTGTGTGTGTGTGTGTGTGTGTGCGTGTTTGGGGATATGTGAATTGATGTGTGGCTGTGTGTGTTTTGTTTGTTTGTTTGTTTTTGTGGTGTGTTGTGTGTGTGCTTATGTGTGCGTGTGCGCGCATGTGTGTGTATTAGTCAGAAGATACGTCCCCATTCATATATAGGAAGAGCAATAAATGTGGATTTTTCATAATCTATGTATGCACATAAACATCATGGAAATGGCACATGAATTCAGGATAATGTGTCGATATTAACGCGAATATGCATTGCAGCAGAGAGTGTAAGACGGTGCGTGTATATCTGTGTGAATGCGTGAGGGTGAATGTACGTCTCTCTCTCTCTCTCTCTCTCTCTCTCTCTCTCTCTCTCTCTCTCTCTCTCTCTCTCCTCATCTCTGTCTGTGTGTGTGTGTGTGTTTGTGTGTGTGTGTGTGTGTGTGTGTGCATGTACGCTTCTTGTTTATGTGAGTGAGCGAGCATATGTATACAGTATGTGTGTGCGTGCGTGCGTGCGTGTGTGTGTGTGTGTGTGTGTGTGTGTGTGTGTGTGTGTGTGTGTGTGTGTGTGTACGCACATAAACGTATTTTGGAGCGAAGTTGGGTTATTTTGCCAAGATATAGAAAAGGAACAGAATTTTCCTAAATCTGGTGTTGATATTCAACATCCAAAGAGACATAAAGAAAATATATTGGCAATGAATATGAAAAATGCGGCAAACTCGCGCAATAAAAATCCAAAGAATGAATGAATAAAACATTTATATCAGCGCAGCAACAATACAGGACCATTTGAAGGGTAAAAACCTATCAAACTGCACATTACCCGTTGAATGTTCTGACGTCAGCTAACGCCCAACACAGCACTAATATTTTACCACAGCATGTAATTGTATTGATACTTTAATCTCTTACATGAACTGTCACGCAGAAAGCCCGTCTGTTTTCTTTTTTCTGAGCTGTTTTACTTGGTAATGTGTGTAGGGTACGCGGGTGTGTGTTTTGTGTGTGGGGGTGTTTGTGAGAGTCCTTCTCTCTATTCTCGTCTTTTGTGTCTGTTTGTATATTTATTTATTTGTATCTATCATTTCTTTTCTTTGAGGTCTTCTCTTTCTCTTTCTCTCTACTTTCCTCTAGTCTCTCCCAATATTTGTCTACTTTATTCTTTCTAAGTATCTCTGTCTCTCCCTCTCTTTTTCTCTTTCCATCCATTCCTGACTCCCTTTTACTCCTTCCTTCTCCCTGTCTGCCTACTTCCTCACTCCTTTCCTTCTCCCTACCTCCCTCCTTCCTTCTTTCTCTCTCCATACCTTCCTCCTTCCTTCTCCCTACCTCCCTTTTTCCTTCTCCTCTCTTTTTCCTTCCTTCCCCTTCCCTTCCTCCTTCCCTATCCTCCCTCTCTCCCTCCATCCTTCTCTCCTTCCCTATCCCTACCTCCCGCCATCCTTCTCCATCTCTCCCTACCTCCCTCTCTTCCTTCTCCCTCCCCCTCCTCTTACTCTCTCCCTTCCCATTCATATTTCCATGAATTCTGCTACAGAAAACTCGGCTGACACCCAAGCCAAAGGGACGACCGTGCTTCTGTGAGGCCACGTAAACGTCTGACC